TAATAATACGAATTGCGTGCTTCTGACGGTTACAAAGACGTTTCAATCTATTTTTATTAGTACTTTCTCAGGCAATATTTGCATAAATTAAATAGTTATGGATAAACGAGTAATAAAGTTGGGACAAACTCTTTTTATTTAAATAATCTCTGGTTTCATACAAAATTCCAATATTTTATGAAATTTTGGTACAAATGTAATCAATATGATATTTCCATGTAATGTGTTCATCCAGGAAAACTCCTAAAAACTTTATGACACAGTCTCTTTTAATCTCAATTTGGTCAATAAAAATTGGAGGCAGTTTTAAGGGTAGATAACCCTTTTTTTAAGCGAAATAATATATTTAGTTTTATTAATATTTATTGTTAATTTGTTACATTTGAACCAGGTATAGATGTTTTTAAGCTCGTCATTTATTGTAGAAAAATGTTTAAAAATATCATTACTAGAAAAAAAAAGGTTAGGGTCGTTCGCAAACATAATACTAAGTAAATTTGAGGCTTTGTCATTAAGTCATTAATATAAATTAAGAAATTAAGTAAAGAGCCTTACGGAACACCACAGATTATATGTAAGAAATCTTTTTGATAAACATCATTACTGGAAACATATTGTTTTCAGTTTAAGAAATAACTTTTGAACCACTTTATTACTCTGTTATTTGTTCCATAGTATTAAAGTTTATGAAGTAAGATGGTATGATCAACTGTATCAAATGCCTTTGAAAGGTCAATAAAAATACCAAGTGTGTATTCAGAATTTTCAAAGGAATTTGATATCTCACGTACGCATTAAATAATTGCGTGATTATAAGGTTAAAAATTTTTAACCTCATAATCATTTCATAAGAACTGTGATTTTTGAAACCAAGTTGGTTGTTATATAATAGGTTATTATAATGTAAATAGTAATACACTCGATTATACATTATTTCTTCTAAAATTTTTGAAAATATAGATAAAACAGAAATAAATCGATAGTTGCTAATATTAGTTTTATCACCTTTTTTAAAAATTGGTGTAATTTTTGCGATTTTCAATTGATAAGGAAAAATTCCTTGATGTATTAACGTTTTGAAAACTTTAAAGAGAATATCAGTTAATTAGTTGTTCAAAACAGTCTAAAACTATATTACCATTTATGTCATCGGCACCAGTTGCTTTATTTTTTTTTAAAGAACTCTTCAAAAGATTATTCTGAAGATTCATTAGAATGCAATCATTAATTGGTACTAAAAAATCACTAAATACAGCCTGGGTGTTTGGATCTTTTGTTGCCAATTTAGGACTAATTCCAATAAAAAAAAATTAAATTCACGAGCTATTTCCTTTGGCTCAAAAATACATTTGTTATCGATTTGGATGACTAGACGCTGGAAACCTGAGCATGATTTTTATTTTCCACTAATTTCTTTCATTATTTCCCAAGTGCGTTTTAAGTTATGTTTATACTTATTAAGTAGTTTAGAGTAATAGCTTTTTTTTTTTGCGTGTTTTTTCAAACAGATATTTAAAATTCTTGTATATTTTTCATTTTCAGGCGATTTTGTTTTTAAATATGTTATATATAATTTTTGCTTAAGCTTTGATGACTTTTTAAATTCTTTAGTAATCCAAGGTTTGTATGAGTTATTTGGATTGATTATTTTTTCAATAAATGGAATATTGGCATCGTAGATAGAGTACAATATACTGGAAAAATTATTGTAAATAGAGTTAGCGTTGTCTTTAAAAATTATATGCTTCCAATGAAGCAGTGATAATTGTTCTTTAAACTGGTTAACATTGGTATGGTTAAAAAGATCGTTGTCTAAATATAACAGATATACTTAATAATGTATATCATTGTTAAGTTCTGTTATAAAGATATTATCAATATAAGTAGCTGTATTAATTGTTACTCTTGTTGGACTATTTATTAAAGGAACCGCTTCAAGTTCAAAAATGGAAAAAAATTTTTTTAACTTTATAATCATTATTATAGTAAAAAACATTTATGTTAAAATCTCCTAAAAATTTTCTTTTTTTCTTTTGTCCCTTTTTTGAGAATATTTTGTTCAAAAAATCTGCTCAAGTTCTCGTTCACGCAACCAGGTGTTCGATAACAACAGCTTAAGAGGATGTTTTGCGTTTGATTGTTAACAATTTCAATATTTAAAACTTCTTTGTCATCGTCAGAAGCAATTAAATCATCCCTAATGTAATGCGCTATATTCTCATTCACGTAGATAAAAATTCTACCACCACGTATATTTATTTGTCTCTCCTGAGATATTAATTTAAAATAAGGAATTTCAAAACTTGAATTGTTTTTTAAATCGTTCGCGGTTATCCATGTTTCAGTCAGACAAACTATATTAAAAATATTTTTAGATTCTTCTCATAGACCAAGAAGTTTTTCAAAGTTACGACTTAGACTTCTAATATTTTCATGAAGGATTTTAATTTTATCGCTTGTATATAAATTATTCTGCTAAAGAAACTCTTCTAATTCGCTTAAATAATGATAAAAGCACTCAGTAAACAAATCACAGTAGAAAAGTATTATCTGGGTCTGAGTTTTCATTTGGCGACATGCAATCTATTTCGGAAAAATTGATTTTTTTTTTTCAAAATTATTAATAGGGGCTATTTTAGAAGAATTTTTTTGTGATTTATAAAATATTATTTCTTGAAATCTCTACAATAAATTTTATCAAACTTTAAAAAAGCATACTTGACTTTTTTAAGAAAATTTAATAATTCATCCCAGAGCTTTTTTCGAACTTCCATTGTATCCTTTGGTAAGTCTTCGTTGATAAAAATACCCGTTCCAAATAGATTTTTACATTTAAAAACAATTTTTTTTTTTTTTTGTCGTTGTAGTTTAATAATTTTAAAAAGGTCATTCGTTGTTTTCTGACTTTTTTGGGGCCTGATCTATGAGGTTGTTCAATAATTATTTCGCTCGTAATTTTTAGTTTCTTAGAAAAAGTTTGACTATTCTTTCACCATCAAGTTTCACCATGGCAACTTGTTTACATCTTCAATTCTCAAATCCTTCGTGATCGGTTTTCAAGATCAATCAATTTCACATTTATACTTTTATTAATACTTTCATCCTTGATAAGTTCAAAACGTTTCTGTTCGTTGTTATATTTCAATTCATTTTCTGTTCGTTTGTTTATTTCTGCCATCTTTTCGTTCAATATCTCTTCTTGGAAGTTTGAACGTTCTAGATCTTTTTCAATTTAACCCTTCTAGATCTCTTTCAATTTTGCATATTTTTGTTCTATTGGTTGTTAAGTCGTATTCTAATTTATCAAGTCTAATTTATCAGTTATAATTTTCTAATTTATTCTAATTTATCAGTTATAATTTTCATATTTGCATTTGTAATTTTTGCAAAATTGCTCTAATAGAAGTCTTTTAGTCTACTTCAAAATGTTTTTTCATCCAACATTTTTTTAATTATTTCTTCGTAGTTTTTGTTTTTTATATCCATAGTATATTATATATTTGATATTAAAAATAAGAAGCAGTTTTATTAAGATTAATTTTAAAAACTTTATATATATATATATATATATATATATATATATATATATATATATATATATATATATATATATATATATATATATATATATATATATATATATATATTTATGAATCATCTCAAAACCATTTATTTATTTTTCTGTATATTGAAATTTCGTTCAGTTGTTAAAAATTTAGGAATTATAACTGACTATAGGCTGCGTTACTTACGGGACGCAAAAAAATATTGCAATTAAACTTGTTGTTTTCAGTTAAATATTTCAAGACATATATTTAGCCTACATAAACAGGCTTCTTAAATGAAAACAAGTAGTTATTATACTGCGTAAAGTTATTTTAAAGATTGTTTTAGCTCTTTATATATATATCTTAAATCAAATAAAAAAAAATAACTCAAATAACATCATTAATCAAAATTAAAAATTTTTAAACATATGGCAACCAAATGATTACTTATTTTTTGTTTGCATTTATTTATTCATTATTAATTTTCTAAACTTGAGCACCCATTAGTGACGGGAGGCTGAATAACCGCGAATTGGCGTAAGTGTGAACTGGCGTAAATGCTGCAAAAACTGGAATAAGTGCGAATTGGCATAAGTGTACCAAAAGAATCTTCTAACATTGGCATAAGTGCGAACTGGTATAAATGCGAAGCAGTTATAAAAACTGGCACAAGTGCGAACTGGTATAAGTGCGCCGAACAAATTTGCAAACATTGGCATAAGTACGAAGTAGTTACAGAAACTGGCATAATTGCGCCAAATAAATTTGCAAACATTAGCATAAGTGCGAATTGGCATAAGAGCGAAATAACAATTTGCACTTATGCCAATTTTATTTGGCGCACTTATGCCAGTTCGCACTTGTGCCAGTTTTTGTAACTGTGTCGCACTTATGCCAATTCGCATACACGCCAGTTCGCACTTATAAAATTTGCGCTTATTCAGTCGTCCATTTGTGATAGCCGAATCTTTAGCTAGAGTTTTTCAAATAGAACACATGTAAAATTTATTTCTAGGTTATTATTACTTGTTTGTTTGCTTTTTGTTTTAAAAAATACTTTTTGTTTTTGTTCAAAACAATTTTAGAATAGTGTTATGTTTGAAAAACATGAGGTAACGGGTAATTAACCATTATGTTTATTAACTTCAACAATATATCGTAGTTGTTGCAATGCTCTATAGAGCATTCCTAGATCTAGAAAATTGTCTAGAGGCGTCCCGTGACATTTGGAATAAAAAAAGAGACAGCAAAAAAGAATTACGAAGAGCTAAGTAAAAATGAAAATATAAGATATCTAACGGTCAAAAAAAGCTATGATTTATTATGAAGAAGGACTGTCATCAAGATGGCTAACCACTAGGAAATATGGTGAATCCTGTTGTGGTAATTATTAAAAAAGCCTTTCACGTTTAAACACATTAAATAACACGTTCAAATTTAAAAAGTCAAAAAAAAAAAAAAATTCATTATTATTTTGTAAAATAACAACAGGTTGATAAAATAATATCAGGTTGACAAATTTCGAGTGTTATTCAACATAACCAAAAATATCGCTAAACTATTGTAAAACATTATTTGTTTTCTAAGGCTTTTACTGGTATTTTTTGATCCCACTTTGTCTTTTTATCTGTTGGTGTTGGGTTTGGAATCTTTTTAACAAATTCGACCTGAGTCCTTTTTAATTTTTCTTTTTCTTTTTTATCATGATATTCTTTTTGCAATTTTGCTAGATTATCATAATGTGATTCAGGTCCCCATATAGTGGGATCAAAAATTTCTTTAGGAAAGTTTGTACCGTGTTCATCAATACCAATAAAACTAACAAGTTTCTCATAAATACTTGGATTACGAAATTCTTTTTTTCTTTGCACATACTCATTAACATTCATACCATTGTTTTTCTTTTCAATCAATTTCGCAATTTTTTCCTGGAGAGATTTAGAACAACGACCTTCAGGCTCAGGAGGTAAGCGCACAGTTTGTTCTTTTTCTACATTTTCTAAAGTATCAACAGTAGAGCTTGGTGATGTGCTTCCAATTGAAGAAACTGCATTTCCTCCATCAAAAAGTCCAAAATTCACAGCAGAAGCAGGTAAAGATAGTTCAACACGAACTCCTTCATCATCAGAACTTTCATCATCTGTATATTCACCAATATATGAAACTAAACCTCTAGGTTTTGCTGCGTTATCAGATGTATTAGGCGTTTCAATGCTAGGTTGCAGAGGGGATAGTTTTTCTGCAAGTATTAAGTCATGATCCTCATCTTTTATTTCATCTTCATTATCATTATACCTTGATAAGTCAGTTAGTGACATTATTTTGCTTAAATATAAAAAAAATATTATTAAAGTAACAGAAATAAATATTTAAAAATTTATAAAAATTCTTATAAAAACATTAATTTTCTAATTAGTTTCTTATTAGCTCATCTAGAGAACATCATTATATATATATATATATATATATATATATATATATATATATATATATATATATATATATATATATATATATATATATATATATATATATATATATATCCTTATAGTGTAGTCGAAAGAGACTTTTATGGTAAAAAAAAAGTCTCTTTTGACTACAATTTTTATTACCTCGTCTCTTAAGTTGTATTTGATTGTCATCGAAATGTCAAAGCAATTAAATTAATGCGGAAGTACATTAAATTTTATTGTTTTTTAAAAAACCGCAATAATAATGACTAGAAAGTTTTTTCTTTAATTAGTGGTGTTTTTGTTTTTGTTTTATTAAAAAAAATTTTTAAAACATGCGTAAGTGTTGCTACATCGACTATCTTATAGCCTGCTGCTACAAGGGAGTGTTGCTACATCGACTATCTTATAGCCTGACTGGCAACGGAGTGCTGCTACATCGACTGACAAATAGCCTGACTCGCAAGGGAGTGCTGCTACATCGACTGACAAATAACCTGACTCGCAAGGGAGTGCTGCTACATCAACTGACAAATAGCCTGACTCGAAAGGGAGTGGTGCTACATCGACTGAGGGTTTGGTTTAGGCAGGCAGTCTATCATTTAATAAAAAATTTTTTTTTGAAGTTTTTTAACATTTTCTGGTCAGGCTTATTAACGCGCTCTTTAAAACAACAGTTTATGGGAAAAACTTTGCGACTACCATGCAAGACTATATATATATATATATATATATATATATATATATATATATATATATATATATATATATATATATATATATATATATATATATATATATATATATGTATTTATTATATATATATATATATATATATATATATGGAAAAAACACTATAATAACTCTTGTTTTATTGTGATTATTACACAGTCCCTGTGTAATAAGTTCTAGATTAATAGTATAAAAGAATAAAAAGGAGGTAATCCACTGTTATTCAGGGTGGTAACCCTCCTTAACACTTTATCCAAAGAAACTTGGATTCAACATCAATGGATGCAATCATACAAAAAAGTCTGGGGTCAGGGCACCATTCAGACACATCTAAGAAACATCATGAATGGTTTAAGTTGTTCGCCAAATCATTTAAACTTCTGAATGATGAAAACGAAACCCTGAAAAATAAAATTGAAGAACTTGAACGAAAAATCAAATCTGGGGTACAGAATACTCCAAAAAAAAATTATTCAGCAACATTATTAGACAATCCAACAATATTCTCATACGTGGAAGCAACAAAACAAAATATACCAAAACCAAAAGAAACTGAAGTTGATGGCTAAAATTACCAATGAATTCAATACCAAAAAGAAAATTGAAAACAATAATACTGTCAGCGGTATTACCGAATCACCTAGTGAAAACAAAAATATAACCTTAGAAAATGATAAACAAAAAATTGAAACAATGCTAAAAGCGATCAGTGTCAACCTTTAATTAAACAATACAAAAAGAATAATACGTTTAACAACAAAAAACAAAGCATCAGAAGGATGACCAGACCTGATCTTAATTGAACTAGACAGGATAGACACTCTAAAGTTAGTAACTAGTAATTCAAAGAAATTAAAAGAAATTGATATCTTCAAAAATGTTTACATTAACAAGGACAAAACTGAAACTCAATTCAAATTTCTTAGTACAATCAGTGCTAGAACCAACTCTTCATAACAACATCATTGACCTAGTAATTACAAATGACCCAAACAAGATCTATACAATTAATAATAATGATCCAATATCTCTGTCAAAAAAAAAACTGCCTCCATTCAGCACTAACCTGGGACTTTTATCTAAATGAATCACACACCATACAAAAAAAATCAAAAAATTACTAAAATGTACCAACAACGTAACTATTCAAATCTAAATTTAGCATTCAACAACATCAACTGGTTTTAACTATTCAATAATTAAGACATAAATGAAATGATAAACAGTCTACTAAAAATTTATAAAAATCTAATTGATATTCATATACCAAAAATCTGTATTAATAGTGATAAAATTTTAAAAAATTCTATCAAATGGCACCTTAATGATATCAAAAAGACAGCTAATCAAAAAAAAAAATTATATTTCCTTATGAAATCTGCTTTAAAATCATCTGACCATTAAAAACAACTTTCAACTGATTACAATAGAAAAGCAAGAGTATTGAAAAAATTAGTAAGAAATGCTCGTATTAAACATGAAAAATCAATAATCAACAAATGCAAATTAAACCCAAAATTACTATACAAATATATAAATAATCAAAAATCATATAAAAAAAAAATTATCTTATTAATCAATGCTGTTGGCATAAACTTAACAATATAAAAATAACTAACTATCTAAATAAACAATTTTATGAAGCATTTACCAAACCAACTGATCTAGAAATCGATTTAACAATAGGTTTATCACCAAGAATAATTAAAAAATATAATTTGAATCCATCTATTCTATTCTCACCATTAAATGTTAAAACAAAACTTTACTTATTAGATGAAAACAAGGTGAAGTTTCATCTCCACTTCTATTTAACCTATTTATTAATGACATGCCTGAACTTGTTTACAACACCTGTAAGCTTTTTGCTGATGATATTAAGTTAATTGCTGTAATCAAAAACCAGAAAGATAATGAGATATTACAAGATGGTCTCAATAAAATAGTTGAATGGACAAAAAATTGGGACATGAAATTACCCAGCTAGCACACTTACATTGGGCCAACGTATGTAAAATCATCGCTAAAGTCGGCTCTTTATTCCAATGAAAAACCAATGTTGATTCAATGTCATTTGGTTAATGATAAAATTAATACAGACAGAACTAAAAACACCTGGCAAATTTAAATTGGTCCAATGTATGTAAAAACATCGCAAAAAGTTGATTGTTTTCACGATCTAAACCCAATGTTGATCCAATGTATATATTTTGACGTTGATTCAATGTATTTAAACCAACGTTTTTCCAATGTATGTAAAAACATCGCAAAAATTTGATTGCTTCTATGATCTTAACCCAACGTTGACCTAATGTATATATCTCGACATTGATTCAATGTTTATAAATCAAGGTTTTTTTAATGTATGTAAAAACATCGCAAAAAGTTGATTGTTTTTACCATCTAAACCCAACATTGATCCAATGTATATATTTCGACGTTGATTCAATATATATAAATCAACATTGATCTAATGTATTTAAATACAATGCAAAAAGTTGATTGTTTTTAAAAACTAAACCCACTGTTGATCCAATGTATGCGACCAAACAATTGTGAAATTATATAACTTAAATAAAATCTTCCATGATTATTAAAACACAATCAATACAAACATGATTTTTGTTCCGATGATCAAGCCTTGACAACCTATATATATATATATATATATATATATATATATATATATATATATATATATATATATATATATATATATATATATATATATACACACTTACTAAAGCGTGTTTTGATAAGCATTAGCTCACTTTTTCTGCTTACCTTTAGCTATACCGTTTTTTTCGAAAAAGAAGAAGAAAAAACGAAGAATGATGAATGAAATGATTGCTTCCTCATCCCAAACCCTCAGTTGATGTAGCAGCACTCCACTGCGAGTCAGGCTATTTGTCAGTCAATGTATGTACTTAAGCCCCCAGCAGCAGGCTATTTCAGTATGACGACAGATTGCTTACCTTAGTACTATACCATTTGTACATATATATATATTTATTTATTTATATATTTATATATAATGTTTACGTCGGCTGTATATATATGTATGTATATATATATGTATATATATATATATTATATATATATATATATATATATATATATATATATATATATATATATATATATATATATATATATATATATATATATATATATATATATATATATATATATATATATATTAGGGTAGGTCAATTTTAATTCCGCATATTGCGTAATATTGCAGTAGTTGTAGACAGTTAAAATACGATTACTCTCAAAATTTGAGAGAATTTGGATAAAGAATCGCTTGCGGATTTAATTTTTAAGATTTGTTGGATTATGTAAAAAAACACCTTAAAAAGCGTTATATGCAAAACTTGACGTTTTAACTAAGTTCATATTTAAATGTTTTTCAATACAATTTGCTTTGCTGTATGATTTAAGTTTATAACAGTTTATAACAATTAAGCTAAATTTATATCAACTTGTTAACTATTTGAAGATTTAAATAGTGAAACTTTTATTCTTATATTTACATAAGAATATCCAAATAAACATTTTCACAAATTAAAAGATTTTGGCTATGGATATATATATTTTAGGAAAACATTTTCAATTAAAAAATATCATAATAAGAATGGGAATAATGCTCTTTTGAAATATAAGGTTTACGCATCTTCCTAATAAGTAGTTTAGTTAAAATGCAGCTGTGTCGATTCTCGAATCCATAAACATATTGGGATGCGTCCGACACAAGTTTTACCGCTCGCTCAACACTCTGGGAGTGAGATGGAAAGACGGGGATTTCAGGTTTAACATTATTGTCAATCGCATATTGGATTTGCTCAATTGAAAAATGTTGTGTTGTTGGGGGCTCCGTAAATTTAGTAATGCTGATGTCTACCAACTCATACCAATGATTAGCATTAAAATTAATTTCTGGAATTTTTTTCAAATTTACTTCCAAACTTTCGTTGTTTACTCTATAAATATAAATCAAATCCAATTACCACATTTAATGTATCATTTTTTTTCAAAACTTTATTTTAGTTTACCATAAAAAAATACCTTTGCCTTAGACCCAGTAGGATTTGAAAACCAAAGTTTCGTATCTTGCTGTCATTATCTTTTAACATGGCATAAAGAATATTTTCAGGTTTTAGGCACAATGCATTGTTTTTAATGTTTTTTTTAACAATATATTTAACATCATCAAAGGGGAGATTATTTATTCTAGTGATAGTAGAAAAAATAAGGCGCGGGGATTTGTGAAATTTTGAAGATTTTTTTATATCGAACCACGCTGGAGCGTAAACCTGAACAATAAAACATACGAGTTTTTTTAAAGAAACACTTGGTTGATTGTCTAGTATACAAGCAGAGAAAGCGAATAGCTAGAGTTAACCACCTTGCATGATTAAGCGGTCCAATTTTATAGGCGGCCCATTTATCAGAAACTTTACCAAAGCCTATTTTTTTCCTTTGCAATATTCAAATAAACGTCTTTGATCGCAACTAAGGTCTACTAGAATTTCTTCTGGAATATATCCATCTACAATTGGGTTTTTAATACAATTAAAAAAAACTTGATTTTTATCCTGAATATTTTCAGCACATCTTTTGCCAAGTAGACCACTAAAGCTTCTTGGCCCAGTTGTGTCACCATCAAGTTTTACAAAAAGAGCTCCTAACGGAAGTTCATTTTGATGTAATGCGCATCCAATTAGATTAAGTTTTCTTTTTAAAAACTCTTCTAGTTTTACCACTAAGCCACTTATTGGTCCAGTATTGGTAGCAGTATTATCAAGAAGAACAGCTTGTATACTTTCCAAACTGTTATGTTCTTGTAAATAAAACACTAAACGTTTAGGTAGCAAGAACTAAACCTGTAGCACCGGTGACAGGAATCGTCCTATGAGTCAAATAATTTCCACTCGATTTTCCATCTTCATAAGTAAATGTGAGGTGATGTTCAGGTTCAATGCATTTCTTTAGTACTTCTCCTTGAGGTAAGTTTATTATTATACTTGTTTTAGTTATTTGATCGAGCTTGCTGTCAACCCCAAGACAAATTAACTGTTTTTTTTGTTCTGAGTCCACCTCTTCACTAACGATTTTTACTTTTGACTTGGCCCTATCTAACTTGCATTTGTCAATCAAAATATCTTTAATATCAACGTCATTTTTCAAGAGATGTTTTATGTCATGTAGTAAAGCATTTGCTAGGGCTGCACCTACGTTTGACGAACACTCATTTCTGACTAATTCCATTGCAAATTTTGAAAGTTTAACTAAGTTGTATTTTCCAATAGGATTATTTACTGGTTTCCATTCACCTTCATCCTAAAAAGGGTTAATAAAATAAAACGCTTTCTGTTTCATCTGTTACAAATATTTCATGTATTTATAAAATATTTACCTCCATATTGGTCAAACCACTTGTTTCTTCAATTAAGTTTACTTGTGCTATGAGGGATTCGTCTTCATTAACTAGCTTATGAGATATTTTTTGTCGTTCTATATTAAGGCTTTGAATCCTTTTGACAGATAATCTATCGACGGAAGAAAGTTGATATGCGCCTTTTGGACCACTTTTTTTCCTCTGATCACGAAGATAAGCTCTGTCTTACAGAGGTACTTTATTACTTTGAGAACAAAGGCATACAATATGTTCTTCTATGCAATTTTCTTTATTACATAAAACTTTTCTGTCACTACAGGGAAACACATCTAATGAACAGGAACACGCAGAAATATCAAAAAGTTTGTCCAAGTTTGCATCAAGATTTCTTTTAGCGCTTGCTTTTCCGTGCTTGCGATTAATACCTTTTACAAGTACGAGAAGATCTTTAACTTTCCTATTAATAGATTTGTCAGTTATAAGAGGTAATCTTAGGTTTACTGTAGCCCAAATTGATTTTATATTATTGCTAATTTGCTAAGTCACTAATACAATATCTGCATTTGGATTTATATGAATAAGATAGTAATAATACTGAATAACCTGTCTAAAAGTGCTTGGATCTGTCGTTGATAGTTCACATGGGCCGCCACAATATTTTTTTTTTCACTTTTCATCCTTGTAATTGCAACCTTTACTTTCGGCATTTTTGTAGATTAATTATATATATAAACTGTATTAAAGTATTACACTCAGAGTAATGGGCAACAGCGTGAGTTTTTAGTGGGGGCCAAAGCATCAAAAAAACCTAAAATATTAAAATTTACTATTAAAAACCTGCTTTGATAAAAAAAAAAAGAAATAAAACTCTTTTGAAAAGATTTGGGGGCCATGAATTCATGAATCTCAGGAATTGAGTAAAACCATTAGTTCCATCGAAAAGTTTTATATTTTAATCTACTTTAGAAATTGCAAATCAAAACTTATGTAATATAAACAGTTTAAAACATTACTCTAGATATAATAACCATAAGTATTTACCTTTGATATTAAAAGATTTCTTTAAATTGCAGTTTTATTTTTGAACCTACTTTTTAATAAATTTAACTTT